GAGGGAGGTCGCAGAGCGTCCCCTGCGCATGCGCAGGGGACGCTCTGTCACTTTTGGGGGGGATTTAAGTATCCCCCCGATATTTTTTTCCAGGTTTTTAGATTTTTGTGCACACCTGGGGACTGCCCCAAGTGTGCACAAAAATCTCCCTCTCCCCCCAGGTGCCCCCGATGCGCGGATTTAGGTATCCGCACACAGGGGGCGCCTTTCGCTATTAGCTATATAGATAAGTATGATGTTGAAAAACTGAAAATAAAAATTGTAAAGAAAAAGAGAGAGAGAGAATCTGAACTGGAGCAAACAGATCATTCTGCCTTCCCGATGCGTGGATTTCGGTATCCGCACACAGGGGGCACCTTTCGCTATTAGCTATATAGATAAGTATAATGTTGAAAACTGAAAATAAAAATTGTAAAAAAAAAGAGAGAGAAAGAATCTGAACTGGAGCAAACAGATCATTCTGCCTGTGCCCCACTCCCCCAATGCTCTTTATTTTTATTGATTTTTATCTGACACTGCCTCAAGTTGGGATACCTCATTCAGGAACTACTCTTTTGGAGTTTTGGGGGTTTTTTTACATTTTCCTGAGTTCACATCAGTTTCTAATCTTCTGTGCTTGGCTAAGCTTGGCTGTCCTTCTGTCCTCTTGGCAGCCGTGGAGCCCTACACGCGGTTTTTCCCGGCGGATCCTGCTTGCAACGAAGTGCGCTCCTCTCCTGTGGAGGGTCCCTTTCTCCAGCAGCAAAGGAGTTGTGGGGCAGAGACGTTGGGGCCCTCGCCCCTGCTTTATTACTCCAGCCTGAAGGAGCTGCAGGAGGTGGAAGACTTGAGGCTGCAGGTGGCAATGCTCAGACAGCAGATCGACATGCAGAAGGTAACCTGGCAAGGGGCATGCCCAGCGGGGGTGGGTGGGTTTTACTTGGCAGAGCTTAACCCCGTGTTCCCTTTCACAACAGAAGACCGGCTGTGCTGAATCAGACTGATGGATCCTCCTAGCCCAGTGGTGGCGAACCTATGGCACGGGTGCCAGAGGTGGCACTCAGAGCCCTCTCTGTGGGCACCCATGCCATCGCCCCAGCCAGGCCCAGACCATCATTAAAGTGTGGAATTCTCTGCCAAATAATTTTCAGTAAATGAAAGCATTAGGGATTGCTTTCCTTACTTTGTTTGGATCATCTTAAGTTAATGTATGGGTTGTTTTTTCTAAAGTAAAACCTCAGTATTCAGGTTAAATTGCCGTGTTGGGACTTTGCGATAAATAAGTGGGTTTTGGGTCGCAGTTTGGGCACTCGGTCTCTAAAAGGTTCGCCATCACTGTCCTAGCCCATCATCCTGTTTGCCAACCAGTAGGGCATAGAGG